AATATGAATGCGGGAATGTATGTATGTATGTTTGTATGTAAAAATCTTCCTTGGAAATAAAAAAGGGAGGAAACTGTAATTTTTAAATTAAAATTTCACAAAGACAATTTAAAAATGCAGAGTAAACAATATTCGTTTTCTGTATAACTCATCATAACTGAAACCATACCGCCAAACAATCATATCCTGTTTGGGCCATAATGACATCAGAAATCCATGTTTATCATTTGCTTTGGACAACTTAGCATGTTTTTGGCCCAGGGCAAAGTGGAAATAAAACCATTTGCAGCTGGCCAAACCAAGATAACCACACATTTCTGAAGTAATTGATACCTAAAGGAACATAGCCTTTAGATCACAGTTCATGATTTAAGTACACTAATTCTTTAAAGGAGGTTGTTAAAGATTTTAAAGAACACACTGGACTTACTCCAAGACTTAACATGCAGAAACTATACTAAACATGGCAAATAAGATATTCTATACTTCTTTATGCACTAATTACCACTTTTTTAAGGGAATGGAATATACTGTATTTCCTGCATTGTTTTAAATGTCTACAGTATTTTTAAAGAGTCTAGGCCAAAAGATTATTAAATGGTCCAAAATAATAAAATACCTCATTGTCCATGCAATCCTTGAGAAAATGGAATGCAGTTTTCCCATTTTCTAGTCAATATTAAGATTCCAAATTTAACAGAACAACCTTATTTTACTTTTGCTTCTCTCACTTTTAAGAGTTCATACCATATTATTTAGTAGAATTTCCTTGTCTCTCTCTCTCTTTAACTTAATTATAGTTTAGAATTATATCTGCACCATGATCAAGTGTGTCAAAATTGGATTTGCGAACTTTAGCTAGGAAGAAACCCAGTTAGTTTTATCCATAATTTGCTTTTTTATACATGTAATGTTAAATCATGAATGAAAGAAAAGTAACATTACATTATAGCAAATGTACATAAATGATAAAGCTTGATTTCTCTGTTTTATCTAGATCCCAATTTTCCTTCTGATCTTGCCTTTCTTCTTGATAAGAATAAGAATATTGTACAAACAAGGTAACCTATCAAAATAAAACCAGCAGAAGCTAATTTTCATTTCATAGTTTATGTAAATTTCCAACAGTTAATTTTACAGAAAACTCCTAAAGATAAATAATTTATTGTAGGCCTCCTTCCACTCTTAAGTTGCTGCAGTGCTGTCCTGATTCCATATCTAATTATATCTCCAGGTGTAGAACTCTATGCACAGCCTTCTGTCTAAATTGGAATCTTGAAAATGCCACCATGCATAGAACAGGAACTATTTTCTGGAATGTGCTCATCACATACATTCAGAACTTCAGAAATGCTCCTAATGGTGAATTTAGAGACAACAGTATATTTGCTCCAATGTAAAAAGAGTCCACAAAATATTTTAAAAACTTTTCCTTTCATTAATTAGTAGGAAGTGGCAACTATTACATTATTAAGATTATTATTAGCATACTTTGGTTCTTAACATTAAAGCTGAGGCAATCTAAAATTAGCCTAGTTGACAACCCAGTTAATAACCTCAATGTACATCACATCATGACTTTTGAGACAGGAGAGTGGCAAAGGAAAGAAAAGAAGGAATGTGACAGCTCACAACAGTTTATGATTTCTTAATTGTGATTATAGATAGTCTTTGTTTACTGATCACTTGCTCAGTGACTGTTCAAGATTACAAAGGCACTGAATACTCAAAGTTCAAACTCAACGTTCTGGCCATTGCAGCATTCCCACAATCTTGATTTGAGTACTTGGCAACTGACCTGTATTGACAACTACTGAACCATCCTGTGATCAAATGAGGGGAGGGAGGGAGGAAGAAGGAAGGAAGGAAGGAAGGAAGGAAGGATTTCTGATGTTCCCTGCCAGCTTCCCAAAAGGAAACTCAGTGGTGAAGCCAGCAGGAAGTTGGAAGTCACTTGCATTCCCACTGCATTTTTGCCCACCCATAGTCATTCTGTTTCTCTGTTTAGATAAGGAAATATCTCTCAAAAATTGACCAATGGGGCACCTGTTGCTTAGATCCTCAACAGAGATATCATGAAGAGACCATATTGAGACAGTTTCAAATGTTCTCTCAGGAAATTTAAATCCCATTAATTAGATATAACAAGTATCAAGCTACTATTAGACCTTTTACTATGTACGGTTAATAACTATTACTATGTTATATGTCTAAGAAACAAAAAAGCAGAAAGAGAAGCAAATAACTAATATGTGTAGAATGTGTATATGTCCACACAGAAAATCCAAACTTCTGTTAAAAATTTAAGAGGAAAACTGAATGCAAATATGTCAATAAGAATGAACAAAGCTGCCTATATTGTGACCCTTGAGGTTACAAAAGAAAAAAGTAGGGAGGAAAAATTATGCTGTGAAGATTTTAACTAGTACTTCCCAGAATCCAGAGAAAGATTTGGCACCTGTACAAATTAGCCTAGGGGCCAGGAAAGCTATATACATTTAGATATCATTGTGCTGAACATATGGCTAGCTTGATAGAAACTTTTGCTTTGCAGATGTTGCCATTCATCTTCATCCACTGGAAAAAGGAACAATATATAAAGTCTCCAAGTGAGGGTTGCCTTTGTCACAAATCAGATATAATGTAGGAACTGAAAACTACTGTCTTATGATTCTTAGAAAGTAATTATGCATTTGTACTCAGTTCAACTGGACTCCTAGATAACTATGTTTGGGATAAGAGTCTTATTTGTTTTTTGAAAAGAGCAATGTTGTTATGAAAATAAATTGTTTGGAATAACATCAGTTCATCACACATATAGTATCTCTTTATCCTTTCTGTTTGCTACTGTAGATGCAACATAGTCGCCAGCAGGTCATCCAGTCAATATACTTACTAGAAAGATTGGTCATCCAAAACAACATATTTTAACATAGATGATCCTCATACTTCTTATGTCCCAATCTATATGAAACATTTATTTTCTATTTGTTGTGCATTAAATATTTTTTTCTTTTGCTTAGTTGAGAAACATTCTTAAAATATTTTACAAAAATCCTAGCCTTAGGAGAATTGTACAGATTATCAATACAAAAATGTATATCTCTATACATCAAACTGTACAGCAATAGTTTACATGAACATGTAGATGAAGCCGAAAACATTCAAGAAATAATTTGGAAGGCCAATATCAAAATAAAAATAAAAAGTGCTTAATTTAAAGATAAAGTCTAGCTAACTTACTCCAATTTTATTTTAAACACACTGCACTGCAGCTGAAATAGCAACTTTCAGAGGTTATAAAATCAGACAATTATTGTTTCTAAACATTTCACATATCTTAGCTCATATATGCATAGCTACATTGAAAATTTACTTCTCATAGCCTTTTTGGGTAGCCACGAATATACCCTATCCATATAATTTCAGTTAACCTACAAGCAAGGGATCATGAAAAATAATCTCGAATATTACAATGGAAATAGTGCCATGTGGTACATTTACAAGAATAGAAGACATTGCACATATCTTATTTGAATGCCAATTATATGCCCCAGCAACGGTCTTTTATTTAGAACCTTCAGTGCTAGTCCATCACCATAATAAAGATTGATTAGAACCTTGTATTTAGAACCTATGCATAAATCAACCTATTGGAACTGCAACAACCAATTGTTCTACTTCCTTCTCTTATATTAAAGTGTTCAGTTGAGAGTTTGTTACATAGGAAAAATTGGAGTCATGTGTAAAGTCATGTCCTTATCAGTATAACAGGATAACAAAATTGGAAGGGACCTTGGAAGTCTTCTAGAACAGGGTTCCCCAACCCCCAGGCTGTGGACTGGCACCATTCTGCGGCCTACCAGGAACTGGGCCGCGCAAGGAAGGCCCCATCCATGCACGCACAGGATCCAGGCAGCATGTGAAACCATGCCACCTGGTATGCGGAAAAACCACCCTCCATGGAGCTGGTCCCTGGCACCCAAAGGTTGGGGGCTGCTGTTCCAGAATATACTTCTGAATATATATTATATGCATTGCTCTGTAATTTGGTATATTTATTTATTTATTTATTCATTCAGAAAACTTATAATTATTTTATCCTTTTGTTAGTTGATGCTATGATTTATCTTGACATGATCAACTGACTAATCAGTATATTAATTAACACCTAGAAATGACTGAAAAATGCTAGTCTTGTACTGATCTTAAAAGTGAAGGTAGGGCATTTGTATGAAACATTTCCGACTCAGATGGAAGGATATTTATTTAGTATTTATATGGGAGAAACTTCAGTGATGCTGGTAATGTACCAGGCAACATACAGTCTCCTGTCTCCTTTGCCTTGTTCTGCTAATCCTGACAGGATGGTATTACTTGTCACCTGGCTCTCCTCTCCTTTCCTCACCCTCTGTAGTCTAAATGAGTCATTATTACCATTCCATCTTGCAGTTTTCTCCTTGCTAGACTCTCCTTGCTAGTTTTGATCTGCCTGCTTAAAAGTAGACAGATTAAAAACCAAAATGGTAACTAACAGTTACTTAGTCATAACATTCAGAATAACTTTTTCTAAGTTTCAATAGGTTTTTCCCCCTTAATATTTATCTGAATTATCCCAGAAGTAGCCTCATAAAGTTAATGTAAAAATTAAAAATGATGAAAACATGGGAAGGAACTCCAAAATACTGATGGAAATCTTTTATAAGTGTTTACTTCATGAATCCTGCAAAATAATATATTTGGGGCTTGGAATCTATGTTTATTGTTTTGCCTTTTCCTTTAGCGTGTATTTGCCTGGCCAAAGAATTTTCACATTGATCTCACATTTACTGTATCTTAAGAAGGTCAGTATTATATGTGGATGAATGCTCTGCATGAAGAATTCTCCTATAAAGCAAGGGATTGGACTAAATGAATTTAATTTAATTTATTTTAATTTAATCTAATTTTGTAAAGTAAATAGTTTTCATACTTTGTTTAGAAAAAAGGGTAGAATTTACCTCCATTCTCTCTTGCTTTACATCATCTATCTCATCATCTTCAAACAAGGCCAAGAGCTCCCCAGTCTGATCAATAGAAATAAGAAAGTCTTGAGCAGATTTCTGACGTTTGTTAGTGCTGCTACTGAATTTGTCTGAAAGAGACCAGAGGAGGAAAATAGACAGCTGTTTTGATACAAAAAAAGGGGGTTAGAGAGAGAAGGGGGGTTGTTTGTTTTGCTTTCTTCCTCTCTCCAAATTATTAAGACCCTATTAAGACCTTATTAAGATAAGGTCACTGTCTCATATTGTCCCTTTGCAAATCCATTTGCATTCGCACTAGGATTTTAAAATAGATCCCAGATATCTGGAAATTCCATAGAAGTAAATTTTAGGGAAAATGCAACCAAATTGCAGTGATTACATATCTAGTAACTAATTAAAATGAAAAAAAATATTTATCAAACATTCATCTTAATTTTAGACAAATTTAAAGAATGATTCTGACAATATTTTTGTAATAAATTAATTAAATTATAGTTCAAATTAATTTGAAAATGTAAATTGTAAAATTAAGAAGACAGCACCAGTTCCTTAGCTAAACTTAATTCTTGATATTAACAGTTCTGGTTATCAAATGTTTGATGGACTAACATTCTGTACTTTTATAAGTAACTGGAATGGAAAAGCCCTGGCTTAAATGAAGTTTCCCACTAAGTACTATTTTTGAATGTCTAAAGCTAGCTAGGAATATATTTCCATTTGGTGCTATAGATACATATGTTGAATATTCCCCATAGAAAGACAAGTTTTCTGGAAGCCTCATACCTTCAAGAAGATCATCTTCATCAATGCCTTTGACAACTTTAGATTTGTAATCTCGGAAAAACATGTATTTAAGTAATCTTCGAAGTTTTTTCTAGTTAAGAAAAAAATGGACATAGACACTGCCTGCTAACATTAAAAGTTCAAGGAGAAATTTGAAGCATTGTAACTGCAATCTTAGATTATATATCCATATTTATATACATAGATTGACAATACTTATTCTACAGAACAGAATGCAGAATTCAGCAAAAACTCACGTTAACTGATGTTGAAATTCCAAGCATAAGTCTGACAATGCATATCAAATCAAGTGTATCTTTTGTGCAGATATATTTCAACATTAGTTTTTTCTTGTGTTCATTATACTTTTCATTCAGGTAAACCTTACTTTGCCAGTTCAATAAGCAGACCAGACTGGGAAATAAGAAAGTTTGGATCTAAATTCCTTTTTTGTTTTACTTCAGAAAGAGAAAAGGTGTGTGAATAAAAGTCTATGAGAATAGCATGCTGTAGTCAAGCACTTTTATTTTAATGTCTTAAATTTGGTGATAGTTGAATTTATCTCAAAACAAGACAAGCACTCACAGGGTGCTTTCAGGAAGCTAGCTGTTTAGTATCGTTTCACTTTATTAATCACTCCAATATGTTCCCCTCTTACCTTTACATTTTTGCCGTTGGTTAAAACTATTCTTTTTCCCTATAGGTTCGAGTTCTCTCCTTATAGAAGACAATTTCAAATCAGCATGGTTCAGGACCATCTCACAAGTACTCCAGTATCTTGGTTTCTCCAGGGAAGTGTTTCCAATGACAGGGTATGACTGTGCATTTAGTGCACTTAAACAATGTATTAAAGATCTGGAAATCCAAAAGATGGCTGCTCTTCCCAAGAATGTTCATTTGAGCAGTCAAACTCCCCCTTTTAAAGTAACAAGATATTTATATCAAATAGCTGTCCTAAAAATGCGGAGCACATTAGCCTTAGCAAGCTGCAATGTACTTCCCACAGCAGTTTGGGAGGGCCGATAAAAAAAATATATGAGCTTAGACTGTGCTCCTATGGAGAGGGGGCCATTGAAACTGCAGCTCATGTCCTGCTATACTGCATCTTCTATAAGGACTCACTGACTCAGTTTATAACATCTTACCTAATAAAATGTCCAGGAAATAATAATTATTCTTTTTACATGCAACTACTGTTATCAGATCAGTATGAAGTAGTTTCCTTGAATGTGGCCAAACTTTGCTATGCTGTATGTAAAATTAGGCAAACTTCAACTGCCCACTGTTAATCCACCACCAATCACAATATTCTTTTATTATTATTTATTATTATTGTTGTTGTTTTAATGCTTTTATTTGCTGGTCTGTGACTGTAATAAAATTGATTGATTGATTGTTCCCCTCTTTTTCTTAATCATGAGGACCTAATATTTCTGATCTGTCAATAATCAAGAGGAGAAATGACACTTTTGGGGAACATTTCTTTCCTCTGATTTTACACTTCTAAAAATGCTTGTATGTGTTACTTTTTTTTTCTTTTTGAAAAGCTACTGTACCTCTAGATCTCCTGTATTTTGGTGAAAGGTCTTACAGACAATTTCCCTTTATAACTTTGATTATAATGGTCTCTTATTTGCCTTAATAAACTCAGCTTCAATCATTTTAAACTAAATGAGTTGGAGTGGGGCAAGAGAGGGAGAGAGAAAGAGCATAAAGCAGTAAATATTTAGGGGAAGTAATGAGTCAGAGGGCAGAGCTGTGTTGCTATGTTCCCACAAAATCAACCTCTTTGGAAAGTTGACATTATTTTCATACAACTTTCATATATCTCAAATGGAAAAAAAAATCATTTTTCAATTTGCAAAACTTGAAGCATATGACCCTGAGGTGGAGCTGGGGTGTCTGGCTTTTCCATGAAGGAAACTCTTGACTCATTCTTTCTTCCACTGGCTGAACTCAGGGTACTCTAGAAGTTTCATGGACCAACCTATCCTGTGAGGCTGATCTTAATTTTTCTACAGTAGTCAATTTCTAAACAGTTTGACAATCCTAAAAAAAACATTGTCCAGCTTGATTTTCTCTGGGTATTATGTAGCGTGCACCAAATTCTTGGCATATCCCACCTCCCGTTCTTTGGACTAAAATCATTACTCTGCTCCCTTCTATACACAGACACAGAAACATATTTAGAACCGTAATTTCAGCTATTGAGAAAAAAGGTTTAGCCATAAAAGTTTGTTGTTATACCATTATTACAGGTTTCAGTGGGAATTTTGAAAGTTAAGCAGTTTATACTTTTTACTAATATCTTTTAAGATTTTTCAACTCCACTTGCAATTATACCTTCCTTCTAAAGTAAGTAGGATAAATGACATTGCAAAACACAATTACAAACAGTTGGAGCATATATTACAAATATGGGGTGGGAATGAAATAACTATTTTTGTCCTTTTCAGTATAAAGAGTAGGAGAAGGGGCTTTTGGATATAGGAGGGGCAATTGTATTTTATTGGTATGATGGTGACTGAATTGTAATTTTTGAAGTTTCATGTTGGGTAACTAGAGAAAAACTAATTCACGGATTATAGCATCAGTTAATTTATACTATTGTACCTTATCTTTGCGCATCAAAAAAATGAGATCTTCTGCAGAGATTACTCTAGCACCTCTCATCTGAGACACTTCAGAGGCTTGTTGCAACTGTGAATAAAAAACCAAGATTAGAACTGATATGGCCATGTGATATTTTGTAGAACTATACTTATTTAAAGTAGCCTTAGCAGTATAGGGGGGGGAAACCCTCACAATGCAGATATATGACACATCAACTAAATTTAGAATTTAAGGTAATTTTAAATATCAGCAGAATTACAATCTGTACCCTCACCAGCCAGTTTAAGATTTTCATTTTGCTGAATTTATCTTGACAATTGCTATTTCAATCAATCTTTTCTAAATCAACCTGGAATATAAAGACGGTTAAGCCTGATGAACATCTGGAGGAGAATTTCAGAAAATTCCAGTGCTGTTGGCTAGGTTGAAAATAAGGCAAACCAACCTACATACAGTAGGTCCTGTTGCTGAGAAACGGACCCATGAAGTCATTAGGAGTTGAACTCAACTTGAATGAGGTATTACTTTTTATGGTAAAAAGACTTTATATATTATCTTACAAGTGACATTTCTTTTATGAGGATAATTAAAGGCTCAAAACCAAATGTAACATGATGCTACATTATCTATAAATGCAATTCCTTTATACGCTTCCATTCCAAGCTTAATCTCCTACGGTAATATTCATCCTTTAAAACTTTTTGTATTGCCTGAATATTAGGATAGGTATAGCTGCTAATATGCATTACTATGTTAGATCCCTAAGGTTTTTTTTCTCAAATCCTTTTTCATTAAGCCAAAAACCTGCTGGACCAGCATATTAATATATATAAAACATTCTTTAGAGTTTAGTATGTATTCACTCTGCTGAACCCAAAATTTTCAGTACCATACTCATTCCAACAATGTATCAATTACTTAGATTAAACAAGACCAGTAATCTATATTAACTCTGTCAAGCTACGAGGGCAATTCAGAAATAAACCTCCGTTTGGTTATTAATGACAAACACTCGCAAATACAGAACTTTTATTATACACATTAGAAAACTACAACATTACATTAATTTTTGATATAATTGCCATTCAATTTGAGGCATGTCATGTCTTACAGGGTTTGAAATTCCTTAGTAATAGTCACTCGGCACCAAATCTGGGCTAGGGGGGGGGAACAAAAACATCCCAATGGAACTGCTTCAAAAGTTCTTGGGTGTGTCTGGCGGTGTGGGGGCGAGCATTATCATGAACCAACACCACACTGGAAGTGGTGCCATAGAAAATCCTGCCAAATGTGAAGATGCCAAAGGAGTACTGCTAGTGAAGTTCATGGAGTGTGGTTCGACCATCAATTCAGACGTCTACTGTGAAACGTTATGAAAACTCAGATGAGCCATTCATAACAAGCATCAGGACATGCTGCCTTCCGGTGTGGTGTTGGTTTGCGATAATGCTCACCCACACACCACTAGGTGCACCCAAGAACTTTTAAAGCAGTTCCGTTGGGATGTTTTTGATCACTCCCCCAAAGCCCAGATTTGGCGCAGAGCAACTACTACTTGTAAGACGATATGACAAGTGCCTCAATTTGAATGGCGATTATGTCAAAAAGTAATGTAATGTTTTCTAATGTGTATAATAAAAGTTCTGTATCTGCGAGTGTCTGTCATTGATAAACAAATGGAGATTTATTTCCGAATTGCCCTTGTATATTGACTCTGAGATGAAAAATTGCAAAGTAGGTACTCTTTACAATTCAAACTACTGGTTCTGTTTTAAATCTTGCAGCAAGGTACCCAGGAGGAGGAGGAGGAGGAGGAGGAGGAGGAGGAGGAGGAGGAGGAGGAGGAGAATAGCAACTGTATGTATGTTGTGCCAGTTTCTAATTTGTTTCTATCTCACAGACAGAGATAGAAATAGCTGCTGCTGCAGTGTTTAGGACCTAATCTGATGTTTGCCTATTATATTTTTTCTTGTTGGTTATTTTAGTTTTCTTTTCTGGTTAGCAATGGCAGGTGGTATGACAAGCATCGAACAACTTAGTGATGGCTGGTATTGATCATTAGTGGGAAGAAGCCAACTGTTGTAAACTGGTAATTCTTCACCATAATCATTCTACGGTAAGAATCTTGTCCAGAAACTGATACTGATGCTCTAGCTCTTCTTATTCAGTTGTCTTTCAGTGGAAGATGATTTCATTATAGATTGTAGTGTTCCATTTCAAACTTCTATGAATGGATTAGAAAAGGGTCAGTGGAAGGGATTAAGTGATAGCCCTGGTTTATACTAAAATTTTATACTAATCTACTATGAACAAAGGAAACAAAACTAATAGAGCCATCATGCATATTGATCCTTGGTACCCAGAACGAAAATTTGAACTTCCTTCGGATTTAAGACACATGTCAAGAACTGGTGTTTATAAGATTTATGTAAAACAGTAAGCACTGAAAAATGTTACAAAAAATCTACTGCTAAACTAAGGTTCTGTAGCTCTTTCTATTTTACTTCTAGGTTTCCTAATGCATGAATTTGGTGGTAATTTCTACACTGACATTTATTTTCCTAGTTCTGCCATCTTTTTCCTCTTTACTTAAATGAACTTTGCCTGGTTATGAAGAAGTCCGTATTGACATAACTCTAGCTAGCAATTGCATACTTTTTTGTTTGTATTCTCAGAAATATGTCATAATGATACCACTAGACTTTTTAGCACTCTAGCAAAATAAAGTTGTTTGTACAAGTAAAGAAAATTATTTTTTTTAAAATAATTAATACTCAAAATTACTACATACAGTATATAGAAAAATATATAAACATATAGTTTCTGGAAGCCCTGGAGTGTGATAGATGCAGGGCAAAGAATTAGAAAAATACCTTACATTGTTTTTTCATTTGAAATATAAGATAACAAAGCTTACATTTATAAATGCACACACGCACATACATCTGAGAACAGATGGAAGAAATTTTAACTTTCATATGCCATATTAGCAATAGTTTTACTCTGTAATATTGGCTGAAGAAGGATATTATTAATGTGAGATTTAATGTTGCTTCTCCTGTAATTTGAAATAGGACTATTCAGCAGTTAAAACAGTAGCTGTTTCTAATATGCAGGGGGGAGGTAGTTTTTACTTTTGGCAAGTATTCAGCAGGAAAAAGATTTTGTCAATAAATCATAATATTGGACTGCATTCCCCCCCCAACTCTAATCACATGCACACAAAATGTGAACTGTAACTGGTAGGCACAACACAAAACATACTGCTTTAAAAAGCTTCACGTTTTTTTCTTTGAAATGCTCAGGAGGGCTTTTGCAGTTACAAAGACAAGAGAATTTTCAGGAATTCAGAAGTCATAGTAACATAATCTGACTTAAAACTGAACTGGAAAATATAAGAATGTGAAAAATGATAGTTCTATTTTTTTGGCAGAGGAAAGTAGCTTCTTATACTGATTAGTTTAAGGAGACACAAGGTACTTATGTTTCCAGCATAAAATACAGAAAAGCTGGGTAACATTATAATACAAAGAACGGGATGAATACCTTATTGGTGTAATTTGGATGAACTCAGTGGACTTATATCAAGGCATGCATTTACTCAATATATTTAATAACTGCTTAGAAAATTGATGTTAGTGTGCTGTTAATATAATACATCTTTTTCAAATTTTGTATGGACTTAGAGAATTTTTTGAACAAAACAGCTAATGTTATGTCAGCCTCTATTGAATAGAAGACAATTTTAACAGAATAGAGCCACAATCCAGTAATAACCTAAATTAATGATTGACCATTACTTCAAGCTAATATGATTATATCCAAGTTTACTAACCAATTCCATTAAAATAAATAAATAAAAACCAGCAGTTAAATGATCTAAAGACACTTAAATTACTCTTAGACATGAAATAGAAACAAAATGCACTACAAAGGTATAATATCTACTTGATGAAAATGATTGATGATGCTTTTAAATCAATAAAGGCAACTCGGAGGATGCAGATGGCTAATATGTATACCTATTTAATACTGAAAAAATGAAATACCAATCAAGGATCAACTATTCTGTCTTGAAATTTATTTGCTCCTCTTCCAGGATGCTGTTCTGTACCAGTCAGTTTAAAAGATTAGATGATATTACAGAGATTTTGTGGGAAATAGGAAACTAAAAGAACACTTTTATTTGCAATTTTTTTTAGCATAGCCAAAGAGCAGGATGTAACCTCATTTTCTTACATAAGAAAGAAGATCATTCTTAGTTCTGAAATGTTTCAAACCAACCCATCTCCCAAAATTAAGCAAATTTACATCAGTTTTTTTAATAGTGAAAATGTATAGCATACGGAACAAAGTACTTACTGTTACAAACCTAAATGTTGAAAATTTGTCTGTATTGTCAGATATAAAAAGATTTCAGAGCAGCGTTCCTCAACCTCAACAACTTTAAGAACTTTAACTCTCAGGATTCCTCAGTTTGCATGTGTCATACCTGCCCCGGTCTGATCCCTTAGGGAAGAAAAACTCTCAACTCCATTTGATTGAAGCGAAAGGTACTTTTAGCAAGAGTTGCTGACTGCAAGTAGAGTCAGGCGGAATCTAAAGTTCCCACACATCAATACAAAACTAACCCCTTGGTTACCCCAGCCCTCCCCCCATGGTCCATCAATGTATAGCCAATCCGGCACCGCCAAGATGTTTTGGGAAGGGCTGAGGTGTTTAGGCTGGTGAAATTCCATTCTCAGGTCAACAGCCTTGACAATGTCAGGCACGAACCAGATTCTAAAATGCTCTGTTCTTCCTCAACTGTCAATCCCCCCTCCCAATTTCCCACCATAGAGGTATACAGTTTTATTGTCCATTTGTTCCCCTCACCCTTCCCCAGTTTACTAATGGCAGGACACCAGTGAGACCTTAAGCCGAAGGTGGTGGATCTGGCAGCATGTTAAAGTACAAACATCTTAAAGTTACTGAGGGTTGAGAAACGCTGCGTTAGAGTGTAACTCAAAGTTACATGCATATTGGTCTGTATGTAGTTAAACAGACATGTAGCTCAATGAAAGAACTCCAACTGAAAAAAAAAACTA